ACCTCACAGATACGTGTTTTTAAGACTGCCCAGGTTGAGAAAAATTTTCCCTACACTCTAAGAGACAAATCATATGGCCTATTATTGCTATCTATACTTCTCAAAAGTCAACGGTATATTTTAGTATTACTTTTTTGATGTTGCATTTAAAATTCACATACACACATATGCTTGAGGAGGAAAGTGGAGCGCTGCGTGATGTCGGTTAATGTGTGGCTGGTCCACTGCAATGATGAAAGCATTACTATATGATTGACGACTTACAGTAGCGGTCAAAAGTGTTCGCCGAAACGGTTTTCGTGCTTCTTTTTTTGCCAAAAAAATCAATGGTGGCCTCGAAAATTTTTTCTTTTGAATATCCTGATTCTTTAAGACTTGAGGATATAAAAACACTAGAAAACATAGTATATCAATCTTTGGAGGGCGTTGCTCAAGCGAGAAAAAATAATGCACTAAAAATCGTTTCGGCGAACACTTTTGACCGCTACTGTACGTTGAGTAGCGGTGGTGGTTCCCATGATTCCTTCCCTACACACGGAGTTTGGTATATGAGAGTTTGTAACTGAATATATCATCTTATTATGCAGCAACCTAAAAATTAGGTTTCTCTAGGTAACCTCTCAGTTTAAACTGGGTAGCTTTTATTTTGAAGCAATCGGATCTGTGCATGTCATTTCAATCACGCGATGGGCGTTGCTCTTGCTCTTGTTCGACGTTTCTCTCAACGCGCAAATGAGGGAGAAACGCAAAATGGAGGAGGAGGCTGAGATCATGTTTCTTATGCGTAGTATTACCTCGTATGCTTGATCTTGCTTACTTGATGTCATTACTGATTCCTCAACCCTGTCAGATATCCTCTTTTTCTCACTAGACGATCTGCGTGTTTTTATGAGGATTAGGCGGGTTCCTAGAAACTACTGAAAGTGTGGGGGAACCCATTAAAGAGTTATCGCTACAAGAACATGCATGAACTATATTTGATCCTTTTTTAATAATGTTTCAGTCAGTTTTTTTGTGAAGAATTCTGACTTTGTTCTTACTCATATTCACTAAGTGAGTTATTCAGATAGTGACAATCAGCAAATGATATATTTCAGACTAAATTCGAGTCGTCTGACGAGGACGATAAAGGAGAGGCTGAAATGGACATATCAAGCCCAGAATGTGACGAGCCAGCACCAGCGAAGAAATCGAAAGAGTCTACGGAGTCGTCTGAAAAATCGGATACGTCCGAAAGAAAGGAAAAGAAAAAGGAGAAATCAGAACGTAGTGCTTCCGACAAGAACGACAGCAAAAGATCCGATGATCGGAAGGATCGAAAAGAGGGAAAGTTAGAGAGACGAAAAAGTGATGATCGTCGGGAGGAGCGCTCAGAAAGATCAAGAAAAGATGAGGACAAATCTGATGAAAGTCGACGCCCAAAGAAATACAGCGATAGTGATGATGGTCAAAGACGATCAAAGAAATACAGTGACAGTGATGACCGTGAAGGGTCAAGCAAGTACGTGTCATGATAGATTCCTTTTTTTCTTTATAAAAATCGTTCCTTCGAATCCACTGCATTTTTTATTTATTTTATTATTTGCTATTTTTTCCACACTCATGTCTAGTACCTTGATTTATTATAAGCTCAAACCTGTACCTCATAATTTTCGGGCAGTCATTGTGCTATCGTTTACACCATATAAGATATGTTTCACCTTATCTCATTTCTTATGGTGTGTTCGCAACCTAGGGTTAGTATGGATACCTACCTAGGTTTGAAACGTGAAGTGCGTTTCAGTTTTGGCTAGGTGTTCTGTTTTACCATGACCCGTATCCGCGTGATAGTCGATATCTGAATATCATCAAGAAAGGGTGGACCCGCCTGACCAGTGATTTTTATTTGGTTTTCACGATAATAAGAGTTAACACACATGCCACCAGTGCCTTGGGAAGATTACGTAATGTTTCAGTCGGTGTTATGACATGTAATACTTTTGACCCACTGCGTCTCCTTTACGAGGGAACACACCAGGGTCCATGCTTATGCTGTTTTCACGGACCGTGCGGATGGCGTCCACGGACGGCGCAGACTATGAAAGCGGCTTTAGCCTTTTGTCACAAGGAAAGTGGCTTACACATCTTTCCCCTGAATGGCCCTCATTCCTCCTGGCTCGTATATTCTTACTTGCTACCTGGTTCCCACCACACCAAAAGATTAGATGTCATATGATCATTTTGGTCGAGCTAAGAATTTTCTTGCGCACAAGCTGACTTTTTTCTCCCATATTAACACTGCTGGTGAAGAATAATTACTAATTTTGGTATTTTAAGTCTGAGAAATTCCGACATTTCTCACTTCTACTTTCAGAAGACCACGCAGAGATGATCATGATAGTGGAAGATCGGATCGTGACAGTCATCGAGGTGGACGAGGTGGATGGAATCGTGATGATGACAGACGCCGCGACGATAACCGCCATCGCAGTTGGGATGAAAAGGATCGATTTCAGAGGGTACCCGATTTCAGAGTTGTTTTGATTCTTCATGTTTTCTTTTTCTAACACATTTATATTTTTTACTCAGACTTAACGCAATAATTTCATGTGTAAGACATATTTTTTGAATTTCGCAATTTTGCAGTTTTTCTTTTGAATACTTCTGTTGAGAGGACTTTTGAAATAAGTATATATGATGGTATGTTATAGTATGGTATGTTAGTTAGGAAGTGAGCCATGTTATAGTCTCCACTTAGGAGAACATACTCCCTCCCCCAAATTTCATTCGCTTCTGGAAAAGTTCTGCTTCAGAAGAGGGTGTATTTGTTGGGCATGTATGTAAGCAGGAATTACAAAACACTGGGAGGGAAAGAAACGATCCTATTGAATTCGACTAATTTCGCTGCAGGGACTCCAGGTCCACTCGTGATCAGCGGTTCCTGCAGCGAAAAATGTTTCGCGCTGCGAAACGCGAAAAAGTCGCTTTCTGTCCTAGTGGACCACACCCAACTGCTATACGGCGATTAATGCTTTAACTTTGCAAGTGGTCCCCATGCTGCATGTGGTCCGTATGACAGCTTTTAATCAAAAAATTTGCGAGGGGGAGGGGCGTGTCTTCTTGTTGGTGAAGCTGGACGACCTGGGCACATTCAAATTGTTACTACTATATTATTTTCATTACAATTATCAGTACTTCAATGTCGATTAGTTGTGGCTTGCGGCGCAGGCGGTACACTTCTAGAAATCTAATATTGTGGTTTGGTCTCAGCTGCATCACTGGTGGATGCAGCAACGTCGGACCACGTCGCCGAGTGCTGGCTTTTAGAAAGATGACCGACGTGACCGCGACGGCGGCATGCGACGCGGTGGTCGAGGTGGCAACGAAGGCGGTTATCGCTATGGTGGACGTGACCGAAACGATGAAAGGGACGGTGGATGGAAAGGAAGAAATAGAAACAAAGACAGGTATAATTCCAAGAGTTTGATCGCCTTTCTAACTAAATCTGAGCAACTTTCTAACTAAATTTGTGTGTTTTAGAGAAGATCGGTCGACCTGGGATGTTCGTCCGAGCGCCGAAGAAGTTGCCAAGCAGCGTAAATTGTTGTGGTCGAAGGGAGGGACGAACAAGGAGGTTCATTAAAGTTTAAACTTTTTTCATGATAACCCTTATGTATCGTTATTTCCCACGACTGCCTTATGCGTCGTTTCAAATAAATAAATAAATAAATAAAAATCCTACATCAAATTGTTCCAGGGATGCAGTGAAGCCGGTGAAGGGAGCGCTGCTGAAACCACAACAGCAGCAGCACCCAGCCAAGATAAAAATGTTGGTTTATGGTCAAGCGCTATAACAGCGAGTGGCGTCGCCGGTGAACAAGCGAACAAATTCCTGAAACTGATGGGTATCAAAAATGTCCCTGCTGTCGACCCAGCCACTGTGAGTGCTAATTTAAATCATCCTCTTTCAAAATCCTTTAGTTGTTTTCTTTTGAATTTGTTCCTCACTATGTTCTTGCTTTTCTTTGTTTCCCGCGGCAAGGTACGTCGTACTTGCAGACTTAGTAGACTTGGTGTAGACCTCACAGTATGAGTTTTTTTGGGTCTTGATGCTCTCTTCCTGTCACGTGTATTGTTAAGTCTGCAATTACTATATACCTGACCTCAGGAACAATTTGTATTTGCTATCCCTCGCGTTGACTTCCACTTTAGCCACTACAGGAGGATAGCACCCGCCTCAAGGAGGAAAGTGAAAAACAGAAGAAGATGATGCGTGACTTGGATCGACAGTACGAAATAGCACGTGAAGCCACACACATGGGACGAGGCTTGGGACTCGGATTTCATCAGTAAAAAATTGTGGTGTTCGTGGTACGTGCCCTGTGGCATTTGTTTTTGCATGCTATGTGTTTCATTGAAATCTCAGGTAGATTAATCTGTGTGAAATGGGTGATTCCGTTGGAGCGCAGCGCTTAAATTGAAATATTCCCGTCAGCTAGTAAAAAAAAACAAAGCACTACTGAAAAGCGCCGAGCCCAATGTAGGTTGACGCGAAGTTTGAAGTGGTCTTTCCAGACAAGACCCCATCGATTGTATAAACTTTGTTCGTGAGAAAACGTCAATGTTGCATTACGCACAGCTTGACGCTGAACAGGAGAGATGATTGTAAAACTCATTTTTCGGATAATTAAACATGAAAAATGTGTCGTTTCTTTTATGAGTTGTTCCTAAGCTGCTTATGATGATCTGAGAGATTATGTAAAATTATGAATGTATTAAATTTGTTTTCTAAATAAATTGAGATATCTGAAAGTTAGGGTTTGTCAGCAAACATTCATAAGTTTCTTTATACCTCTTAAGTGGGACTCATGAATCCTCCCCATCGGGCAGTTGATGGTCGTGAAATCAAGCTCAGTTTGTAAAGGCGTCACGTAGTTCTAGCGCTGCAGCCCAACAGCTGAAGTTTGCTGCGCGATCGGGAGTTCGTGGGTTACACTCATTATAACATCTTTAAATTTTCTTTGGTGACTTTCGATGAACTCGACTGGGCCTATATTTTAGGGAATGAAGCTGTGCAGTGAGCCAATAGAGTTCGTTTCAAGATCATTTAACACATTGAAGACAGACCCTTGTGCGTGTACCTCGGCACCTTTTTGTTTAATTTTTTCACAATCATCAAAACTTCTTCAATAATTTCACTACTGGTAATTGATGCACAGTTTTTCGGATGAAGATAATG